GAAAAAAAGCCGGAAGTGGCGCTGTGGCTCAAGTGGTAAAGCGCTAGCCTTGAGCTGAAGAGCTGAGGGACAGCGCCCAGGCCCAGAATTCAGGCCCATGAATGGACCCCCCCCCAAAAAAAAGCAAAATCCCATTTAATGAGGTGTGAAGCTAAAATTAAACTGGGACTCCAGGAACTCACTTACTACTTTCCTCTTCAACCTTGACATGAATTTATGGTCTGAAAGGAAAAGTTAAAGGAAACCTGGTCTTAAAGGAAACTTGCTCTACTTCACCTCTACCACCCATCAGTTATTTGATTATTATGTAAAAAAAATTGTTTGTCTTTGCTGAGGGAAATCAAGACAGGTCATCATAAATATGTTTCTTTGGTATATTTCAAGTTGGTTATTCAGAGAAAATGAAGACCTCTAAAGTCATAGGAATGAATGGCTCTGAATGGTTATCTTTTTTTGTTTCAAAACAAATTTTATGCAATAATTTCTTTTAATGAACTGGGCACCTGTGACTCACATCTGTAATCCTAGCTACTCAGGAGGCTGAGATCTGAGGATAGCAGTTCAAAGCCAGACTGGGCAGAAAGTCTATGAGACTCTTATCTCCAATTAACCACGAAAAAACTGGAAGTGGCACTGTGCTTCAATTAGTAGAGCACTTGTCTTGAGCTGAAGAGCTCAGGGACAGCCTCCAGGCCCAGAGTTCAAGCCCCAGAACTGGCCAAAAAAAAAAAAAGAGAGAGAGAGAGCGAGAGCTGAGTGCAGTGGCGTATCCTTGTAGTTCGAACTATTTGGAGGCTAAGGCAGGAGTATCACTTGAGCCCAGGAGTTCAAAGGTAACCTGGGCAACATAGCTAGATTATCCACTAGGAAAGAAAGCACTGGATGCAGGCAGAAGCTTTAAGATTCTCTTTTTGCCAAAAAGATGTGTTTTCACAGGAAGAGATTGGGATTCAATACTTGGACCAACCAGAGATTACAATGGTGGTCTTCTAAAAGTTAGCACATAGATAAAAGTTTTCCAGGTGTCAAGATAGATAGCATTTGGGGACTGTGCGGAACCTCCCATGTCTCATGTTCTCTCTGGCCCCAAATCCATATTCCTTTGTGTGTAAAACAAGGTAGTATAGAAACATCAATCACCTAGCCTTTCCTAGAGTCCCACACATACTTTATGGGCAGCTCCCATTTAGTTTTTCTTCTCAATCTATATACTATCAGTTCATTTCACACACTGAAATTATTGAACCTTCGGAATGAAAAGAGAAAATTTTAAATTCTCCTATAGTTCTGCCTCTTTTTTCTCAGATTCTAAGACCTTCCTTTTAAGACATAACACATGCTAGAATGCAATTTAAGGAATAAAATCTGACACAACTATCATCTTTATATTAACAACGTCATCGTTGTCACAAGCTATCATGTATCAAAACATCTCACATGAACACTAAAATAAACGAGTGCAGTTAATGACTCAAAAACGCCTTCATATAGGATAAAGTTTAAGAATAAAACTATTCTAAATATATTATGTAAACAAGCCTTCATCTTAGCAAAGGCTAAATGAAATTCACTGCCCTTCACACCCCTTAAATTGTGTTCCAATGGATTTAGCTTGTAATTTTGAATGTGGTAAAGGTAACAACTCAAATATATAAAAGTAATTTCTTAACAGTTTCTGACAAGTATTTGAAAGAATATTCATGGATTCATTTTGAACCATGACACTATTAAGCACAATTTTCAGTTGCATTTACTTTAGAAGCACATGGGAAGGAAAAACCCCCACAACTGATGACCACCTACCCTATGAAAGAATTACAGAACTCACAGGAGTCACAGCTTCTCTTACGTCTTGTAGGTTTGATCTGTAAAGTGAAATTCTTGGTCTAAATTTCCTCTTGTAGGTGCCAACACTCTTAAAAGGACTGTTCTAAGGGTGATGATGTAGGGATACCTATAGACAGAAGAAGAGAAAAGGCCAATATAGACCAGCATATAGACAGAGATCAAGGGAGGAAAGGAAAAGTGGTAGAATCCAAAAGACTGAGGTGGGAGTAACGCTTGGGACATGAGGAGGGTATCCTCATGAAAAGATAATTACTGCTGAGGTAATTTTATGCTCAAAAGTGGAAATCTTTAAAGGGATACAATTCATCCATT